GCGCCCTGTTCTCAGATGACTGAAGGCCTTGTCTTGCCTTGTCTTGGCCCCAGATGGCGCCAGAGTCGGAACCAGCATGCGAGAAGACACATATTGTACCAACACATGCACTTCCTTGTCAGGACATGGCGACCTCGTCCACTGACTGAATACATAAATATTTATGTATATTCTGTAATTCAAATCTTACATAAATCTAAATGACTACCACAGACGGCACAGATATCCACGTAGCCAACAGATATTCAGCTAGAAACAAATGATAAATATGAAAGGTAATAGACATGTTCATAATCACCATCCGCAGCAGTATCGGATATAGACGACAGAAAACGAAACCCATTCCGTCAGCATTTGTGTCTAATGAAATCATGCGCTTAACATGTTTAGTGAATAAATGTGGTCTCAGTTTAGCATAGTTAACAATCATGCCGGGGTGTGTACGACATGACTTGTAAGTTTAGGCTCTTAAACACCAGAGGAGAAATATATAATCAAAATTGTGAAGAGTACTTCCAGAATACTCAATTAACATACACGTATTCATTGAACCATTCTCATGTTAGTGAGGTGAGGTGAAATTGGGTTTAACGTCGTGCTTGAGAATATTTCGCTCATATGACGACGTCTCATGTTAGTAACACATCATGTGTACAATAAATACACACACATCTTGTTATCGTACTGGTATCGAAATGAACACATCTGGACCATACAATCAGAAGTTTCACATAAGAAAAAAATGACTGGGGTACTTTATATTCAAGAAGTATTCATAATTCCCAGAAATCCGGAATAGCAAGTGGCTGCTATCGGTGTTTATGAACTGACCGACAGAGGGCGCCGTTAGACACATTCCCGGACGGGAGACCAACGGGGCGCCCCCTGGCGTCAATAATCATTAAAAGGGCGTACCCGCACAGTTGCAGTGGAGGGCATGCCAGCTTAATAGGGCATTACCACTCTAACTCCACCTTGAGACTTAGGTTAATGTTTTGGGTATAGTATTCAGCCCCGACAGTGGAACAGCATCCGTACAATTAGGACACCTGTAAACTAGCACAGAGCAAATTCCTATCAATTTAGAATTTGATGATTGTATTGATGAGCGACATAGGTCAAGTAATGCTTTCGGGCAGAGTACGAGTAATTCCACGCTGTCAGCTTTCTCTGGAAGGTTAGTCGAAGGTGTCCTGACAAACTTAGTACAACAGATGAGCGAAGCCCGGCCCCTTGATCCGTGAATTGTCCAGTACAAAACGGAAGATGGAATATTGGTGGATATTTATAACATTCTTAAACATCACCACGTAACCTGATAAAAGCATATGGCATGGATGGCAATAATTATTGTGGGTTCAATATATTATTATTGAGACAATATTGCTCCCTATTTTATGGCAGGAAATGCTAAAAATTTTTTTTTTTAAACCCTTTATCAACTCGTACGTTTCCGGTAACAAATCAACGTTTTTGTCTTTGACACAAGAAGAATTGGGTCTTAGATTCAGTAGGCAACGTCCGCACAATGGGGTTGAATCATGCGGAGTTTATACCCTAGATTGCAACGGTCTATGAATGAGCAAATGGTTGTTATTAGACGATACGCCCTGGTAGCCCTAGAATATCAGCGTCTCGAGTCTGGCAGGTATTGTCATTCCTAATGCGCATTTGGTCGAGGCCGTCAAATAAAAAGAAATTTAAGCAAAATACTCCCTTCGAGACGGTTCACTGACCTAGCTTACAAAAAAATCATGACGAAGGGGGTCTGACAATGTAGCAAAATAATACTAAGGCCTGCCAAAATGATGTACTTGTTTTACGCATACGCTTGCAAATAAGTCCAAACATAGATATAGTTCAAATGAATGAAAGTGTTTTTATGTTTAAAAAAAATGAAGAATACACGAATATAAATTATAAGTTTTGAGACTTATTTTCAAAATGATATCATCGGCCATGTTTATGTTATTTAAATGTGTTAAAAGTACATATGTAATGATATCATCGTCCATGGTTATGTTATTTTAATGTGTTAAAAGTACATATATAAAATAAGTTATTACAACCGATCCCTATCTGCATCAGTGTCCTGAAGAGAGTTGAGTCCACTATTAGAACATCCTGACACGCCCAAGGGGAGCGACTCTACATACTGTACTGCTATACACACATATAGATATCCCGGTTTTGGCCATTCATAAAATAATAGTTGCCAACTTGACAACTTTTCACCAAATTCTGTCATGTACCTGCAAAAATGGACCTGGCTACACACGTGACTAGAGATCGCCGGGAGGTGTCGCTAGAGACTGTTGTAATCTCGTGCTAATCACGGCAGAGTTAGCGAGAGCATGGCGACGTGTTCTTGGCCGCGAGTCCCACCTTAGGTAAACTGTTGCAGGGAAATGGCGACATTATGCCTGCACTACATTTACGCGAGACTGCCCTGAATATCGTCAATGTTCTATAGACTTCACGTATAATGACTCGTAAGAAGGGAAGTCGAGAATCCACCATGTGGTACGTTAACTCCGCCCAAAAGACAGGATCCGTCAATGATGTGCATCAAAACAGATGGTTGTGTTTACGTCGGAACCCAGTTTCGCTTGAGTTAAAAGGCAAACCGAGCATAGAGCGGTATTACATTCAAGTGAGAGGGCGTTATTTTACGCCGCTTTGTGGCACAGTGAAGCTGTTTCACGGGCTGAAGACTGGATGAGAATAACAAATGAATTCGAACTCCGCTTCACGATGAGGAACGCACGTTTTAACCACAAGGCCCTCCCATGACTCTAGTCTGAGTTCAAAAATCCACTATAATATCCCAAAACACTGGAATTTTAACACGAGGACGAACAATATGAAAGTACATTTTGTGTCGTAAGAAAACGTAGATACAACTCCAATCATTGCATTTGAAAAAAAACTTTCAAAACAGAATGAATTTTGTCAGGAGACGTGTTTCCGTCAAGGCTATGATACGTTTATTACGTCTTTACCTAATAAATATGTTATCCCACAACAAACCTCTCTCTTTCATGTTCTATATAAAGCGGAATCCGTAAAGCAGACTGGGCTTACCTCTTTTTATCATCTGAAACGGTTATAATTTAATTATACGTGGATATTTGGCATTCATGGTGCAAAACCGGTCCACGCCCTGACAAAAATACCGATTACTTCATTAAATGATTGCATGACAAGCCATACTCCTACACGAAATTCCACAATAACACAATCTCCTCCTTACAGATTAATTCCGCTAATTAGCCAGATTCAAAACAAAACCCTTTCGTTTCCTCTTGCGTACATACTTAAATCAATATCGACAACACGTTGCCAGGGAAGCCCACGCCATTGAAGACACGTATGAAAAATATGATTGATTATTCCGAGGATGTATATTGACTTAGGTTCACCTAACGTCTGGAGTATATGCTGTCTTACGTATGCCGTTGTTAGGGATATAGTATAAAAATGGCTTGAAGGTACACATTGTGTAAGCTGCAATGGAGTATGAACATACAGCATGCAAACATCACGTATCGTATCCGTATGATATAAATATGATATTATTGGTTCCCCTGGGTCGAGATAACATGTGCCGTACACTCACTGGATACGTCAGTTTTGATACACACGTACTTAGTTGGTTGGAACCCATGGCGGGACTGCACACACAATGAAGGGCGTTGTCTCTCATAAAACCATTAGCTATTCACATGGCTGGGAAGCTAACTCTGTATGTTGATACAACCTTCGCCGGGTATAAAACGCTATAACACACGGGGGGCTTGAACGTATACTTGTTAACAATATGAAATGTTGCTTTCATAATTTTTTATTACTTTCAACGAACTGGGATTAATCTTGTGGCAAGTTATTGAATATGACATTTCAAGCCTGAACAGGTGACTCAAATAAATTTGTTTCATACCGAAATGAAAACCACGCAAACTAGATAGATCTCTGCCACGGGTACAGTAACGGGTGTAAGTTGTCAAGATTTGTGAAAAGACAAACACTTAACAAGTTAAGCGTTTGTATTTAAATATTTTGTGTGTAAATACCGAGGACCACTGTGTTCTAAAGCTTTCAACAATATACGATATGGTCAATAGGAGCAGTGTATGCCCCCAAATCCCTGATGCCTGGGAGAGGTCATAGGAACTTTGACGTCATTTGACAGAGCATGGACAATACAAGGTGAAAGTTTATACTGTCGCAAAACTGACCATATAGTTCGAACACTTCTTGGTAGCCATGTTCAGAATTGGATTCGACCAACGTTTGATAGCATCATTGATGGAAACAACCATAAGCAGTTTTAGTTTGGTACAGAGATGTCTGTAGACTAACAACTAGTCTCTGAAATGAACATATTTTACTGAAAAAAGTTCATAGTAAAAAAAAATATATATAATGAAAAGGAGTCCTGAGACTTTCTTCATTCCTGAAGCTGAGGAAATCTAGACTTGCCACATTTTCTAGACTTGTGTGGGCTTTCTTGGATATATTTGCTTCAGGGTCTGTACGAGAGACTAAGATGTCTGCAGCGGTGATGTTTATAGTACAAGGAATGCATTTGAATGTAGGAACAGGGTCACTGTGTCAAAGGTCAACTAAAGGGGAAATTATATGAAATCGTAAACGTATGTGTTAAGCTCAAATACTAACTACAAATATTCCGACTGTCATTACATTTTAACCGAGAATAGCTGAATAATGGCCATAACAAGATTCAGCTTCAGAGGTCAAAGCAAGGTCAAAATATGAGGTATCGCAACAAAAAAGAATCACCCCACTACGAACTGCCCACTCCATTTTGAAAGAACCCGATCGATAAGTGCAAGAAGCTGTCGTAAGCATCACGATGTATAAACCAACCACTATATTATCTCTTATATAACCGCCCTCGTTATGGCCTTGGACGTTAGAGCTCTACTTATGAACGGAGACCTTTTTATTAGCTTCTACACAGATACTGTTGTCTGTTGAGATATTTCATAAGAAGCCCTGACGTGCAAACAGACAGCGGGCCAAGTACGTCCTGACGTGAATGGAATGCACGATTAGCATCAGATGATCTACACGAAACCCACCTTCCAAATCTCGGTACCCCGAAATCGTAAGCTAGTAGTATGTTCTTTTGTTGGGTTTTTTTTGTCGGTTTATTTTTGTTTAACGCCGTAGTCGGCATTTGATCAACTATATGACGTAGGTCTGTAAATAATTGTGTCTGGACCAGACAATCCAGTGATCAACAGCATGAGCATCGGGCTACATTGTTCTGGTCGATGACATGTGTCAACCACAACTGCGATCCTGACCTGTCGCCTCGTACGATACGTATGGGTTCCTGAAGACAACTTCCAACCCATGTTTTCACGGGTCAATAGATACAAATGCATTCATCAATCGTATAAAAGCATTCCAAACAGTTGTCGGAATAGGGAGGTTTCAGTCTGAGTCTCCATAATTTCAGTGGAACCTTTTGACTGAGTGAGTGAGTTAGGTTTTACGCCGCACTCAGAAATATTCCAGCTATATGGCGGCGGTCTGTAAATAATCGAGCCTGGACCAGACAATCCAGTGATCAACAGCATGAGCATCGATCTACGCAACCGGGATACGATGGCATGTGTTAACCAAGTCAGCGAGCCTGATCACCCGATCCCGTTAGTCGCCTCTTACGACAAGCATGGGTTACTGAAGATCAATTCTAACCCGGATCTTCACGAGAGGAACCTTGTGAACTTGAGGTCTGAAGCTTGAAATAACGACTGTTTATATTTGATAAAGAGTTCAAGTGTTCAAACGCTCTATGACCATGGTTACAAAATTCACGATCTTTATCCACGATGTTTGAGTCTCGAGAAAACACATTATCTGTTTATCCAGAGAGAATACGGAAATGGTACTGTGGTGGCCACTTGGCTGGAATCTCACGATGTGATGTTCGATTAAGAGGGGTGATATCAAATGTAGTCCTCGTGCTTTGACTGCAAACACTGTGTCCATAGTGGCTATCCTTTGAATAAGACCCTTCCTTTTCAGAAATCACAGCACGAAATGGTATTTCTTTGACATATTCGTTTTGAGATGGCCCCTCAAGTGAGGCTAAGTGTCACCTCGCACGGCGACCGACACATCAGAGGCTACAGCGGTCTCATCCCACCCATCCGCTACATCATCGACTGCGGCTTGAGACCAATAGCACTTCCTGAGGACGTTACCGGTGACGCCCACGGCCCCACTTAAGACCGTAGGAATACACAGGACTAGAAGCCAGCGAGGAAGATGAAAGTTCTGCGATAAATGTTTACCAACGATAGGAACAAATACACGATTGATGTGTTGAATCATTGTTGGACCCAAACTCGTAACTTGAAAAGGCCATATATACCTGGTATGGTTGCTTACACGCTACTAAAATATAGTAGCGCTACTAAAATATACGTCATGGAAAACGGTTATCTCCCTTTAAGATGACTTATCTCCCTTGAGTTTACGAATTCAAGACGGCGTAACGTCAACTCTTTCCTCTCCAGAATGGTAATAATGACATTGGTGTGATGGAATGGCTAGATGTCAGATGAGTTATGATTTTATGCCGCAATATTCTAGCAATATCACGGCGATCCACACAAGAACGTGAGTTTACCCTTGTGTTGAATCGAGCACGGGTCTTCCACGTGACGAGAGACTGCTTTAACCACAAGACTATACCATTACCCTGCCCAATTCTCCTTTAAATCCAGCTTCAAAATAATTAACTATATAAGGAACCTCTTGATAGAATTTCCTTTACATGAATCGTGCAGAACATAAGGAGTAATAAAACACTTGTAGGACGTACATTCAACATTAATCTCGTCTTATCTTATCTCTCGCATTTATCGTGTCCTCCAAACGTCTTGATAAAGACCGCGGGAGTTAATACGGCACATTGTCGTACTCCATGTAATTTGTAACCAGGAAGAAACAAGGTCACACTGACATAAAAACCTAGGTAAGAAGTCAGTTAGACATGGTAGATGGGCGTAACCATTGCTCTAGTAATTTATGTTACCTGTATAAATATACACTGACATCTCAAAGGTGTGTACATGGCCAGAATCTCAAGTAGGGTTTACCTATTGTATTTAAGACTGCGTCAACACTGGGATTTAAATATCTTAACAAACAGGTACACAACTGAGCCAAGTTTGGTACAATTATGCAGACAGGAAAATTGTAGCATTTCAAACGATTTGACACTTCTATTTTACTCTCATAATTATGGATGAAGTGCAAACGCTGAACTGAGTCACCACTAATATCGAGTTACAAATCTTAATATTGAACAAAGACGGGGTTTATAAAGTTCTGAGCTCTCCTACATTAAAGCCATCGAACTATACCCAACGGCTTAAAGACTTAAAGTAGCACATCACCTCGAAACGACACAATCAAAAGGCACACCTGATTATAGCATAAACAACATCAGATTGATTAAGCGCATTTCGCAAAAAGAATTTATTACTAGATAACTTGTGACACTTGAAACACCATGATAATCTGAGCCTGTGTTGGCTTCCTTTAATCCTGACTGGCTATTTCTAAAATATTATACTGTCTGAAGCACTGCAATCTAACCCTCTCTCTCTTGTATTCTGAACTGTTACTCTGATACGTTTCAGTTTCTCAGTTCATAGCGTTTTGTTGGTGTGTGGGGTTTGTTTTTTTGTTCGTTCGTTTGTTTGGCTGGGGTCATTTCGTATTGTGTTGCTTTTGGTGGTGGTAGGTGGAGGTGGGGGTATTGTTTGTTTGTTTGTCTGTTTGTTTACTTCACATTTGGCATTCTCCTGGTACATGTAGACTATCTAATAACAACCTGGACCAGACAATCCAGTGTCTGACATTATGAGCATCGATCTACGCAGTAGGAATACGATGACGCTCTTGTGAGCGCACCTGATTACGTCACAAGACAAGCATGGGTTGCTGAAGTCGCTGATCTTCATGAGGACCTGTGTGTCAGAGAACTAGTGGAATAAAAATATGACATATATTCTCCATAATGACTACTGTATAATCAGGTTTATATCTCCGATATCAGATCCGACCACAGCACCGGGACAATTGACTTCTCCGTGTCCCTCAACCAGTGTATGTTACAAACGAGAGCTGTGATGTATATCAGATAAACACAGGGCACAGTGTTGTGGTGACAGACGTAATTGGAAAATGGGGAGAATATTGCCGTGACGGACCAAAGAGGACATCGTGTCAGCACTTCACACCGCTGGATATCTGATCGTATCTCGGATGTAGGACAAAACCTCGTTCGAAATCACTGGGGTTCTCCACGTAAATAAAACTAACCAGGAGTAATCGTTAATCAACTTCCTCGATGGTTTTAAAACCGGATTAGACAAACACTGCCGCCCTATAAGAGCCAGTGAGTATTGTTTAACGACGTTTTTCTGATGTTCAGCCTGTTAGCTTTGTGTAACCAACGCAAAGCAGGTTGAGGCTGTGTGTTACTGTAACTTGCTGTCGCGGGTTGCGTGATGGCAGACCAGTATTTCAGTTAGGATGCATCAACGACTACCCCAACATATAGTCCCCCAAGTACAGGTATGTCTAGGGTTCCATCAATAATTCTAGTTTCCCTGCCGAAAAGGGGTGAGTGAGTGTGTTGGTTTTTACGCCGCTTTTAGCAATATTCCAGCAATATCACGGCGGGGAACACCGGAAATGGGCTTCACACATTGTACCCATGTGGGGAATCGAACTCGGATCTTCGGCGTGACGAGGGCCCGCTTTAACCACTAGGTTAAACTCACTCCCCCAACCCCACCCCACCCTGTCGAAAAGGGAATGTGTAAAGGATTCTACAGGTGAGACGAGGACGAGGGCTGAATGTGAAGCTGGGGGTTAATAGAGACTAGTCCACGACGTGCGGATTCTGTATTGCTAATATAAGGGGCGTAACTCATACAACGAGTTCAACATACTGAACCCACCAAAGGGCTGGGATACAATTTAAGTGTAAACATCATGAAAAAGTACTATTTCAATATTTGTCTAAACAATGCTTTACATAATAATATGTGAAACACGGTCCATCTTCAATAATCGATTAGAATTGGTGTAAAACGCTAGTAGTGCCTTCATGCGGTACCGACTATAAGTGTCGTTCTGAAAAGAAATTAAAACATTGTTTTTTTGAAACAATATTCACACGTTTCGCTGACGTCATCACCCTGAGTGCATGAAGGTGAGGGAGGAGGAAGCGGGGAATCCAGCTTCAACCGTTCTGTTACAAGTGCCGCTGCAAGAAGTCAGGATAGCGGGGGAATTTCAAGCAGTAGGAGTATTTCGTCAGATAAATATAGCCGAGATGCTGCACTCGGGAGCTTAGTTTCAAGATTCTTCTTCAAACTTAGCTCAGAGCTAAATTAAGGTTTACATGTATTCCAGATGATTCCGATTAAAGTCCGGCTACGTTTTTCCCAGATATGACGTACATTATCATGTTTATATTATTTTGCACGTGTGACGTTGCCATAGACACAAGACGTACTTTTTGCGTATACCACGGTCATGGAGTAAGTAAACACGGAGCATATGATTTGGGAATAGTGAGGATTTATTCGTATTGACGTGCCAGGGTTTCGGATCCTCCAGGCTGAATCTGATGTTGGAGTCGACAGATGGAACCCCTAGATTCCTGGTGGAGGAATGGATACTATTGTACGCGGTTCTGGGGGTAGATGGAAGGGTTGTTTAAGGCAGATGGATATGATGGACTTATCATGAAGGAAAGCTGGATGTGTGCATGGAACCTATAAAGTTAGTGAGTGATCCTTCTGCTACATGAGTTAGTGAGTGATCCTTCTGCTACATGAGTTAGTGAGTGACCCTTCTGATACCTGAGTTAGTGAGTGACCCTTCTGATACATGAGTTAGTGAGTGACCCTTCTGATACATGAGTTAGTGAGTGACCCTTCTGATACATGAGTTAGTGAGTGACACTTCTGATACATGAGTTAGTGAGTGACCCTTCTGATACATGAGTTAGTGAGTGACCCTTCTGATACATGAGTTAGTGAGTGACCCTTCTGATACATGAGTTAGTGAGTGACCCTTCTGCTACATGAGTTAGTGAGTGACACTTCTGATACATGAGTTAGTTAGTGACACTTCTGATACATGAGTTAGTGAGTGACACTTCTGATACATGAGTTAGTTAGTGACACTTCTGATACATGAGTTAGTGAGTGACACTTCTGATACATGAGTTAGTGAGTGACCCTTCTGATACATGAGTTAGTGAGTGACACTTCTGATACATGAGTTAGTGAGTGACCCTTCTGATACATGAGTTAGTGAGTGATCCTTCTGATACATGAGTTAGTGAGTGATCCTTCTGCTACATGAGTTAGTGAGTGACCCTTCTGATACATGAGTTAGTGAGTGATCCTTCTGATACATGAGTTAGTGAGTGACCCTTCTGATACATGAGTTAGTGAGTGACACTTCTGATACATGAGTTAGTGAGTGATCCTTCTGCTACATGAGTTAGTGAGTGACCCTTCTGCTACATGAGTTAGTGAGTGACCCTTCTGATACATGAGTTAGTGAGTGACCCTTCTGATACATGAGTTAGTGAGTGACCCTTCTGATACATGAGTTAGTGAGTGACCCTTCTGATACATGAGTTAGTGACCCTTCTGCTACATGAGTTAGTGAGTGACCCTTCTGATACATGAGTTAGTGAGTGACCCTTCTGATACATGAGTTAGTGAGTGACACTTCTGACACATGGGTAGGTGTGTTAAATCACACGCGGCTGGTCAGAGCGAGTGACCCTCTGGTTAATAAATGAGCGCCGCCCGTGTGCAAAACGAATAAGAATATATTATGTCCTACATGGCATTCTTAATGGATGTAAGAGATGATACAGGTATGGCATGAATGTATGACATAAAACACATGCAAATTACAAGTCTAGTTAATGCAGATCAAAAAAAATTTAGGCGTTTCATATGAACTCATACCAATAAATAACGCAACCCCGGCGCCCTCTGGGTGAATACAACCCACACGAAGATGCATTGTGGATACAAATTGAGCTATATAAAGCTTCAGAGATGATTTATAGCATAGTTGTGTCATATCCCGGCATCCTGTTTAGAGATGATGTGACAGAATGCCTTGGATATACAAAAATAGCTTCATGTTTGTCTGAAACAGCGCATCCAGCCACTGCGACACTGCGTCATAGCTTGACCATAAATACCACAACAGAACATGTCTTGTCGTCGGTTGCGGATGTAGTATGGATGACACTGGGGAGAGTGAGAATAACATTAAACATGATTCAGTGTCAGATTTCAATGGAATGAAATCCTGCAATGGGACATCAGCCTCATGGATACTGATTATCCAAGCATCATAATCGGATCTTTATGGTTAGCGGGCTCTTGGGCCACCTATCTATCCTTAGATGCTCCTTGTAACCGGATCTTTATAGTTAGCGGGCTCTTGGGCCACCTGTCTATCCTTAGATGCTCCTTGTAATCGGATCTTTATAGTTAGCGGGCTCTTGGGCCACCTATCTATCCTTAGATGCTCCTTGTAACCGGATCTTTACAGTTAGTGGGCTCTTGGGCCACCTATCTATCCTTAGATGCTCCTTGTAACCAGATCTTTATAGTTAGCGGGCTCTTGGGCCACCTATCTATCCTTAGATGCTCCTTGTAACCAGATCTTTATGGTTAGCGGCTCTCTGGGCCGCCTATCTATCCTTAGATGCTCCTTGTAACCGGATCTTTATGGTTAGCGGGCTCTTGGGCCACCCACCTATCTATCCTTAGATGC